CATAAAGAAAGACTAATGAACATTCAGACTGAACAAATCCACTCCCCGCATTTTTGTGCTTGGGACCTGGCCCTTGTCTGAAGCCCTACAACTTCTCCAGTCTGTTTGTCCCAAGAGCATACGTAACCTAAGTATTAGTCATCACACACCAGAAATAATTGGTAAAAAAAAGTTAATAATGCTAATAAAATATTAGTACTATTTTTATAGATGATGTAATTCTCTCAGAATTAAATGTTTAACAACTTGAGATGGAATTCACATACCATAAAATTCATCCATTTAAAGTATGTATTTAGATGTTTTGGGGTTTGTTTTAGTAGATTCAGAGTTGTGCAACCATCACCCACAATTTAAGTTCGGAACATTTTCATCATCCCAATTAGTCACTCTCCACTCTCCACTCCCTACCCCCAAACCTAGGCAACCACTAATCTACTTTCTGTCCCTCAGAATTAAAATTTATGCTTCTGGTTTAACTGCCTTAAAGCAAACTATTTTGTATTATGAATCCTTGAAGCTGTTCCAATTCTAATCTCCTGAAAATAATTCAGGAGAATTATTGCTAATTCAGCCTCCAACTGTTTCCTTTGGGGCATCTGTGTGGCGCCACCTTGAGGAACATTACACATGCCAGGCAGCTCCATGGCAAAAGCTTGACCAGGAGGTGGTCTCTCCCTACCACCATAACCCACTCAGGCCCAAACACACACACAGCCTCCAACAGGATGTGAGGATAGAAAATGCCAACACAGCAGCAGGTCTTGGCCACCAAAGCTAATAGGTGGAATATACCCATTCCTAAGATAACCTCATGAATAGCTGTAGAATTTGGCAGGCATGCAATCATAGGCTTATAATGGGCTAGAGATAGATTTCCATGGAGGAGGAAGAGAAGCCTGCTTGGGAGAGAAAATGGAGAACCACCTCCTTCGGGAAGCAGGCCAGTAATGTCCACTGCCAAGAACCCTGGCTAGGTGGCAGGAGAGGCTCTGTGAGGTGGGCACTGAGAGGATGCAAGGGCTCCTTGTTTTGGTTCTTCCCTTTCGCACACTCTGCATGTGGTGGTAGATTTTCTTCTATAAGCATCCGTGAAAGACCATGATTTTGTCTTTTGGGATGGGAGGAGCACCCAATGAAAGCTGCCTGGGGCTCTGTAGTCTATTTCTTGGGGTTTAGATTATTTTGCTCTTGAGGCACTGTCTCAGTCTTTGGAGGCTGCTAGAAAAAATACCAGAGTCTGGGTGGCTTCACAACGGACATTTGTTTCTCACTGTTCTGGAGTCTAGAAAGTCTGAGATCAAAGCGCCAGCAGGGTCAACATCTAGTGAGGGCTCGCTTCTTGGGTTGCAGGCAGTAGCCTTTTTGCTGTGTCCTCACATGACCTTTATATGTGGCGAGAGAGAAAGACAGGCATCTCCTCTTGTAAGGACACTAATCCCATCAGGAGGACCCCTATCCTCATGACCTCATCTAAACCTTATCACCTCCCAAAGGCCCCACCTCCAAACACCATCATTTTAGGGGATAGAGCTTCAACGTAAGAATTTAAGGAGGACACAAACATTCACCCTTAGGTGATATGGCCTAAATCAGATGTAATACTGTGACCAATCCTTCCCTTGGCTTACACAGAATAAATAGAATAAACTTGAATTAAAAGGGGGCAGGATATTCTTCATCTGTTCATTTCCCTTGTTCTTTATAATTAGTCTTTATCGTGACCTTTGGGGGCATCTTGAATCTTTTAAAAATTAAACTGTTTCTGTGGAGGTAAAAATCAACAGGCTTTTCCCTTCTAAGAAAGGTAAATTTTCAAGTTTGTGGGATTCGGGTGGTGAGTGAGCGAGCCACAAAGTAGTGTCGTACAACTCAGAGAAAATGACAAGGCAGAAATGAACGGGCAGCCGGGCTGCTGCCCTTGAAATTCCAGGGGCTCCCTGAGCCCCTCTGGTTCCCGGAATGCTGTCACTCGGCTGCCTGTGGCGGCTGAGGAAAAACCTAGCAGCTCCCCTAAGGGAGCGGGACAACACCTCATCTGCCATCAGGGGCCAGATCCCCAAAGTGATGCCCTCAGAGCCCCGCACTACACAGGCGGTGGCACAGGCGAGCACAGAGTGGCCGGTCACATTCTGGCAGCGTGTCTACCAGTGAGACCCTCCAATGGTGAAAGGGACCGTTCACACCCTGGTCACCGGTGCCCACTGTCTTCACAGAAAAGGCTGACATGACCCGATCGGCCGGGCTCCTTTTGTGTGTCCTGAGAAAGGAGGGGCAGAAGTGACAGGGGGAAAGCCTGGGTTCCCCTGAGCGCCAGCATTTTATAATCTCATCTCAAGGGCTGTCACTCACCCAGAAAGGTCCTGAAGGCGCCTCACTTCTGCTTCTGAAGCAGCAGGATGCGGTAGCGGCTGTCTGGGTGCCCTGGAGGCCCCAGGAGGAGGCAGGTAAAGTATCGGAGCCACCCGGACCGGGCACTGAGGGGGACATGGCAACAACCAGCTCGGGACCAGCCACATCCCCCCCACTGCTGCAGAAAGTTCCAGCAGCTGGGAAGCACCGAGAAACGCCTTCACATTATAGGTGACTTTTCCTCATCACCGAGCCTTGAAGAACCTGAGAGAGAGGTGTTAGCAGCACTTAAAATGGGCTGAATCCCTTATAAGGATGAACTTGTGATTTGGATCCCTGATACATGTGAAGCCTGGAAATAGACTAAAATCACGGCTGGAGTAAATAATAGCTCTTTGTTGCAATTAGCAACATGAATTACAATTAATGACAATAAGTAACAATAGTATAAGCATTGACTTTGCCTGGGTGGCTCAGTTGTTAAGCGTCTGCCTTCGGCTCAGGTCATGATCCAAGAGTCCTGGGATCGAGCCCCGCATCGGGCTCCCTGCTCAGCAGGAAGCCTGCTTCTCCCTCTCCCGCTCCCCCTGCTTGTGTTCCCTCTCTTGCTATGTCTCTCTCTCTGTCAAATAAATAAATAAAATCTTTAAAAAAAAAAAATAATAAGCATTGACTTCGTTCTAGGCCCTGCCCTAGGACCTTGGCATACATTATTTCACTAAATTTCTCATGACCTCTATCAGATAAGTACTTTAGCATGCCCGGTTACAGACGCAGAGAGATTCAGTGCCCAAGATCACCCAGCTAATAGGAGGCAGACCCAGGACTGAAACCCATGTCTGTCTGATTCTAAAACTTTAAGCTGTGCCTGGAAGGGATGACGTCACTCAGGCTTTCAGAAGCGAGTACTTTTTCCAATTAGCCAGGTCAGGATTGAGCAAGGAGTTGGGAGGGAATAGCCACCTGCTGCTGCCCCAAGCTGGGCCAAGGGCAAGGCCCTGTCACCACGATCTAGCCTTATTCTTGGTCTTTTCCATAGGCACAGGCTGTGTGAAGGGGGTGGGGACCTGTAGGGACATGGAGACTGAACTCTGGGCTCCCCCTCATCCCGCTTTCCCATGCAGACCCCATCTTGGGGTTGAGAACTTTGCCCATCCTTCCCAGATTCCAAACCAAGCATAAATCACAAAATAACTAATCTAAGTGTAGATTCAATAGGAACACATCCACTTTCAAGGGTCCCCAGGTACCCGTCACTCAGTAAGAACCAGCCCAGTGCCTAGGTGGCTCAGTCATTAAGCGTCTGCCTTTAGCTCAGGTCATGATCCCAGGGTCCTGGGATCGAGTCCCACATCGGGCTCCCTGCTCTGCGGGAAGCCTGCTTC